CCTGTGCCCCCTGGATTGGCGGGCGGATTTTTTTTTTTTTTTTTTTTTTTGCGGTACGCGGGCCTCTCACTGCTGTGGCCTCTCCTGTTGCGCAGCACAGGCTCCGGACGCGCAGGCTCAGCGGCCATGGCTCACGGGCCCAGCCGCTCCACGGCATGTGGGATCTTCCCAGACCGGAGCACGAACCCGCGTCCCCTGCATGGGCAGGCGGACTCTCAACCACTGCGCCACCAGGGTAGCCCCCAGGCGGATTCTTAACCACTGCACCATCAGCAAAGTCCTCTCATCTCCTTTAATACAGGCTCTGTACCTTGAAGAGCAACTATCAGTTTATTGCCTTAGAACTCTGCTCCTCAGGAACGACTGTAGGGTTCCTGAAAACTATTCTGCTTTTATTGCCTGGCCCCCAGCCTGTAGCTGAGTTCCTGGCATGGAACAGGGCCTCAGTAAGGGAATGATTGCTGAATGAAGACAATGGAGGGGGCAGTGAGCAGGAAGGGCAAGAGGGCAACAACTTTACTTGTCAGAGCTGCATGTGTTCCTCAGGGATCTCCCCAGGCAGAGGCATCCACAGCCCCCCTTGGCACCTCCCTGTCCTGGCCCCACCTCTGTTCCTAGCCACAGGTCTTCCACTGCCCAGTCGATCTGACGTCACACCCTGAAGGCCCTGCCCAGCCCCGGGGCAGAGAGAGGGTTCTCAGTGAGAGGAAGCTGGATGGCCACCTCCCTTCCTGAGTTCTTCCCATCCAAGTTTCCAACACCTGCACTGCCTCTTCTGCCCTGTCGGCAGGAGCCCAACTCAGCGGTGATAATCCTGTTCTCGAGTACACGAAGCTTCCCTTCATGATGTAAATTATTGGGCAGATTTGCCTGGTTCCTGCTTGGGCCCAGCAGTCATCTCCCTGGACCTAACCGTGACTGGGCTCTAAATTAAGCACTGTCTTGCTTTGAGACACTAATGAAAAGGGCTAGCACAGTATGACATAAAGTGTTTTATTACGGTTAATAAAATAAAAAGCATTGGAACAGGGAGTTGTAGAGAGTTCTCTGGAGAATCTTGAAAAAAAAATTTCCATCATCAAAAGTCAAACTGTTGCCTCTTGTATTATTTTTCCCACTCCAAACACCACTAAAAGAGAACATAGATGAAGAGGACTTTCTTAGTGTGTAAAAATATTAATGAGCATTAGTTTGACTGCAAGATTATGAGTGCCAGTACAGCTTTTCTTTATATTTTAGAATAACTGAACCACTTTACTCCTTAGTGTGGCCCAAAGAAGATTTCCAAATGCTTCTAAACAGAGCTCTCCTTCTATGTGTCTACTGAGATACTCTCTCGTGGGAAGTCATCTGGACCAAACAGCCCAAGCACTGAATTTGGCTGTATTCGCGTTACATTTCCTGTGTGTTGAGGGTTTGGCTGCCAAGAGATGGATTGTGGATGGAATCTTCCATTCTTGTTTCAGTTTCTGAAGGTAGCTATTGAGATCAAGGCAAATCATGTATTTAAAAATATATACATGTTAGGGACTTCCCTGGTGGTGCAGTGGTTAAGAATCTGCCTGCCAATGCAGGGGACATGGGTTTGATCCCTGGTCCGGGAAGATTCCACATGCCGCGGAGCAACTAAGCCTGTGCACCACAACTACTGAGCCTGTATTCTAGAGCCCATGAGCCACAACTACTGAGCCCGTGTGCCACAACCACGGAAGCCCGCACGCCTAGAGCCTGCCTGTGCTCCGCAAGAAGAGAAGCCACCACAGTGAGAAGCCCGCGCACCACAATGAGGAGTAGCCCCTGCTTGCCGCAACTAGAGAATGCCCGTGTGCAGCATCGAAGACCCAACGCAGCCAAAAATAAAAATTAATTAATTAATTTAAAAAATATATGTATACAAGTTTAAGAATTATCTGACAATTACCAATATTTCTGCTCTCCTTTTGAAGACTTCATCATGGTTGCCTGGTTCAATGCTATGTGTGGAGAGGAAGAGAGGAGACAGGTTGAATGTACCTCCTTACATGGCTGAGCCAGTTGGCTCTCATTGGAGTAGGCAACTGAGGCCAACACCACTTGGTTTCTCACCCAAAACAGAATTCCAAAGCTAGAAATGGCTTCTGTGACTGACCTGTCTAAGTCATCAGCCAGGGCTCACTGAGCAGAGAAGCGATAGTGCTCACCCCTAACCTCTGGAAAAATACCCAAGGGTTGGGACTTAATGACCACTGAGTCAGCAGCAGCTCT